GATCTAAGGTCTAAGCTAGCACTGTCCAACAGGGTAGCCAACAGCCACATGTGGCAATTTAAATTTAAATTATTTAAAATTAAATAAACCTAAAGTCAGTTCTTCAGTCACACTAGCTACATTTTAAAGTGCTCAAAAGCCACCACATGGCTAGTGTTATCCTGCTGGACAGCACAGATGCAGGACATTTTCATTCTCATGGAAAGTTCCATTGGATAGCACTGAACACAAAGCTGTTTTCCAATCCAGCTTTACTAGTGAGCCCTACCTACACATCCGGGTAAAAAAAAAAAAAAAAGCTGACATTCAATTTTAATCCAACCCAGGTCCTGAGTCTATTTCTCTTACAGGAGTGGGTGATTAATCAGGTTCCACCAAACCCTACTATCTGGAGAGCAAAGACACCAGATCAAAGCTGACCCTTTCCCAATGTGAGTAGTTCTGTACTAAGAATATAAGTCTAAAAAGTTCCCAAAGGCAATCCCCTCTGAAACTAAAAGAATTATCAATTACAAAGTAAACTATAGAGAAATAATGGATGTTTGGCTTTCCCACCGCCTCAAAAAGAGCTTTAAAAAGATTATCTTTATCTCAGCCAAAGCTACTGTCCTGATACCATTCCTTAAGCAATGATTCTCAAATGTTACCATGCATCCAAACCACTGGAGAGTTTTCTTATAACAGATTGCTGGGTCCCACTGCCAATTTCAGATTCTATAGGGCCAGGGTGGACCTGGGAATTTACATTTCTAACCCATTCCCAGACAACACTGACGATGAACTCACTCAGGGCTCACACTTTGAGAATCACTGACCCGGAGTGACACAAACACTGGGAAGACAGAACTAGAAACTTGCTTACACACATGCCATAGTGCCAGGCAAGAGTGCTTCTGCAAAGAAAGTAGGCTGAAATCAAAGGAGCCAGAACTGAGTATTTTTCACTTCCCTTCTCCATAATGAGATATACCACAGCATCAAAACAGAGCAGGTTGTGGAATAAATAGCAAGTAAGAAATATTCTTTCATTCTTAATCTATAATGTAGCAACTGAAAACTTGATTAGCTTTCCCTCACATTTCAAAGAGATAGCTTGCATCTATTACCTATTAACTTCATAAGGCTCTAAAAACCAGCCTCTACACACCTCCCCCCAGTCCCAAATTCAACTGAACTTTAAACTATAAAAAGCTTTTAATGACCTCCTAATTGCCCAAACCAGTGGATGTCTTAATCTCCATTTTTACTGATGTTTCCATAACACTTTATTTTAGCAACCTGTTTGCCTCAGCAATTCTCATCTGCGTTAGCCTAAACGATTCATCTTTTATCTAACTAGACTCTCAGTCTCTTTTTTTCTTCCTGAGGTGAAGGATCAGTCTTATTTTATGGCTTTATAGGAACTCCTCAGACCTTTTGTTTTTCTTTATTCCTTCTCAGAAGGAAAGGAGATTGTGACCACAGTTCACAGAAAGGAATGGGCCCTTTCCTGGAGCACAGGCTGAGATCTGCATTAAAGACGAATGAGAAGATTCTGCAAATGTTCTTGGTTTAAGGATCATGCTTGCTGCTCTCTTGATATGCAGGCTTCCTTCTACAGATTAAAAGGAAATATTTTTTCCTTTATATCCTAAATAAGGCAAAAGAACAATATAACTGGATTTCAGTATCTGCCCACAATTTCTGTGCCAGGAAAGGTAATAACAAAAAGGCAGACTCTCTCTCCCATAGCACAAAGTTGAAGAGAGCACAGAAATTGCCTAGTACCACAATTGACAGGGACTAAAAAGCACATGAAATCTTTTACCAGTCTCTGTTCTCTTGAGTCCTGAAATTTCCATCACATTGCAATTAAAAGAATAAAATATGGTCTGGTCCAATAGGGAAAATGATCCCCAATTCTGGCACATCTCCTACAGTCTCCTCAGCATCTCCTCCTCCTCCTCTCTGCACACTCTTCCCACAGGTGCTCCCCACAGTTTCTACCCTGGTTAACTCTTCAAGTTCCTCTTGATGGGAATTATTCCAAAAGCACTAGCCTTTGTCCTGACTTTTAGCCAGTCCATTTCCATTAGAAAGTTTCAGCAATTACCCCCAAGCTAGTATGTGAATAACATAACTTTAATGTGCCTTCCAACCCTAAAATTCCATGACTGCATCTAACCTTTAATATACTCCCTTCCTGCAAGCCCTCATTGTGTCAGCAGCAATCATGTTCCCTCACCTCAGAACTTCAGGGCCAATTCTCAGTCTTCCTTCACCCACCAAGTCCCAAAAAAATGAATGAGACACAAGGATGAGTGCCTTATACACTCTACAGCTTTTATAAGTTTAGTGCTGTGCACATAGCAGGCACTGAAAAAAGAGGTAAGCTAAAAAGTTTAACCATAATTCCTGAATCTAGCCCCTCTTCTCCATCCCCAAAGTCACCAACTTTATTTAATCCTGCATTACTCTCCCCAAAACTATTCCAACAGCCTGAAACTTTCTTTCTTCTTTCCACCAGTCTTTCCCTATTATTTCAATCCATCCTCCACATGATTACCAGTTTCCTTCCTAAAACTAATGTCACTCCCCAGCTTAACCTTTCAATGTCTCCCCATCACTCAAAAGATAAAGTTCACATTCCTTATTTGACATCCACAACCTTCCATGATCAGGTCCAAGTTACCTCTCCAACCTCATGTCACCACTTGCTGCCATTTATCTTAATGATTTGGCATGTCTGCAAACATAGGCTGTTCCTTTTGCCAGGAAAGTTACCACTACCTCCTTCCCTCATCTCTACTCCCCAATCCAAGTAACTTCTACCCTTACCAATGTCTCCTCTGTGCTCCCACTGAAATAACATTTATCATATTATATCATAGTTATTTACCATGTTTGAATATTCTATTAAAGGTGACTCATTAAGCTGGAACCCTGTCTCACTCAACAGACCCTGGCAGACTGCTCACAAGGGGCACATGTTAAGAGTCTGCTGAACAAGCCTGCAAAGCCCAAACAATAAAATCTTAGCGTTCTTACTACTTTAGAAGGCCATTTAATTACTTCAACAATGCAGTCCCTGCTCAAAACATTTTTGAAACTCCTCTTCTGCTATTTGGAATCACCTTCTGAGCCTGTTTACTACTCTCCAGAAAAGAAAAATAAGTCCCCTTACTTTATACTCATGAAATGCTTTCAACCAAAAACAGTAGAGCCAAACTTGAGCATTGCCATCCCTCACCCACCCCACTTCATCGCATGAATTTGTTCCAAACTTCTGGCCCTTTAAAACAAGGAAATCCTCCCTCAACGATGAAAACTTGCCATCACTGACATTGTGCCAAAGGTTCTTAAGACAATTTCAAATGGAAATGCAAATATGTCCCCAATGGTGGCACCAGTGGCACCATCTCAAAAGACTCCCATTTGATGGTGAAGACTTAAATGTGTATGTTTAGGCACAGATTTTATTTTTCAAAGAATATTTCATTTCACCTTGCTGAATATTTGTTGAATGAAATCATATGGGGGAAAATGTGTGTCTCAATTTCCCTAATTGTAAAATGGGGCTAGGTATTCCTATTGACTTCATGAATGCCAAGATCACTAAAAACTAAACTTAATAACTGTTGAATCAATTTCTGAAGATATAAGATTCTGCTTTAATAACTTCATTCTTAAGGCAGAAAACATCCTACCCAGAAATTGTACCATCCTTTTCCAAGGAAAGGGTTCCATCATTTAAAGAGACTGACGACATAAACACGACAAAGGGGCAGTTCCTATCTTGTTTAATATGCACTGAGCACCTGCTGGGTGCTCCACCCCATCCCAGGTGACCGAGGGACAAGAGAGAGAAAAGGACACAGCCCTAGCACTCAAGCTTTCAAAATCATTCCAGACATCTTGTCAAAGCACTGAATACATTCGTAACCACCCATCACCAGGGAAGCAGTTTACAACAATGACTCTATTTACCCTCTCGAATTGATTTAGGGGCAGATAAGTCTCTTTAACCTCATATCATCCCTGTGAGGCAGGGAAAAAAGGGTGACTTTCCCCATCACTGGGCTGAGAAAATTGAGGAAGCAGCGAGGTGAGGAATGGTCCACACCTTTCCCTTCCCCTACTGGCCAGCACGAGGCAAGAAGCCAGGATTTATGACATTAGAGTCCCAAGCCCGCTACTTCAGTGACAAGGGAGAATTAAACTCCAGCTTCTTCCTGCAGAAATGCACACGGACCCAGACACCGCCCGGCCCCATCTCCTGGGATCTGCAGGTGGAGGCACGGTAATGGTGGACAGAGGAGGCGGAGGGGAGAGGAGGGGCGCGCTCCAGTGCCCCCTCCACAGTCCCCCTCCGTCCAGACAAGTAGCTGCCAAGGCAACCCGAGGCCGCAGGACCGGGGACCCCCTGTGCTCCCCGCCCACGATGGGTACCTTCGAGTATTCCTGAGCCAGCTTCTGGTACTTCCCCTGCAACTCTGCCGAGGCCATGGCCTCCCCCGCCCCGTCCAGGCCAGGCTGCCCAGGCCGTTCAGCCCTCCCCCCGCCCCCCGCCCCCAACCCCGCACACGCTCCGGGGTACGGCTCAGCCAGTGTCTGCTTGCTGGGCCACGGCCGCCGCGACTCCTCCTCCACTTCCGGGTTCGCGGGGTGGGAGGAAGGCGGAGTGGGACCGGGGGCGGAGCGAACACCGGGGGCGGAGCGACGTCTGGCGTCACCGCCCCACCCTCCCGCGCCTGAGTACGTGCGCGCGCAACCTCACCGTCGTGTCTGGGCTCTGCTTCTGGGACCAGGGGGCGCCATCTTGACGCATGGTCCAAGATGGCGACCTGGAACGGAGAAGGGAGGAATGAAGAGGGGAAGAGAATGCTGAGACCCTACAGAATGGGCGGGGGAGGAGACGGATGGTGGTTGCGAAGAGCAGAGGACCGGAAGAAGAAACATTCTAAGCGCATCAAGAATTCTAGCCATCTCCCCACCCCTGGTTCGGGGTTCCCATGGCAACCGCCTGGCGTTTAATGGTTACATCTTTCAGAAAGAGCATGAAGAGAAAGACCTTTGTATTCTGTCATCTCCTTATCCGGATGTGGTAGCACAGGACATGCCCTACACTGTAAACACTCTATAACGCTGTTAATGCCACTCTCCCCTGCTCCTAACCACACAAACCGTCGTTGTCTTTTGTATTTTGACAATGAGATTTCTTTGTGTCCATTCTCTACCCACTTCATCCGCCCACCCCTAACCCCTAAGCACACCACATCAGAGCCTTTTCCAGTGAGTTGAGTGAAAGACCGTTAGGAAATTTCAGGTAATGATTTCTGCCATGCATGCAGATGGAGTGGACATTACCAGAAAAAACAAAAAGACTAGAGGATTGAAGCAAAAATTAGTCTGCCTGAGATATTTTGTGCCTGTTTTGCTTGAATTAAAAGGCTGCCTCTACTCATTCATTTAAATATTTTTTTAGATAACTGTTCCAGGAATTGCATTCATTGTAGCATTAAATGTTCTTTCATAGTGCGTGGATATATATTAATAAATATAGGTATATGTTTACCAGAAATTACAATGTGGCAGTTAAAATGAAGGACCTAGATCGGTATATATATCATATTGTCTGTATATATCAACAAGGCAAAACAACATGTTAAATGTAAAAAGCATATGGCAGTGTACTGTAGTATAGAAAGATGCATTTTTAAAACATGAAGTAATATTTGTATTGTTCATGGACACGTATACTAAAAATACAGAAACAAGAACTGAAGCAGTACACATCAAATTCTGGATAGTAGTTGCCCCTAGTGAGAAAAATGGAAAGATGAATGGAACTAGAGAGAGCAAAGGAGCATAAACCTTATTCTTATTTAAATTTTTGTAAGTAGATATAACAGGATGTTAATATTTATTATCTAGGTAATAGGTACAAGGATGTTATATTGGCACTTGTAGAATGCTTGAAATTTTCCATGATTAAAAAAACTATTAGTACTATCTTGGTTTCTTGTTTGGTTATTAGTAAACCAGGACTTTTATAGTGAAGTGCTGAGGCTATGTGCATTTTCAGCTGTTGTAGTGTGTAAAAGAATTACATACTTTTGAAAATGTTTATATTTCTCAATTTGCTAATAGCCAGGTCCTACTGTCCAGCAAACTTTCAGAACAATAAATTTTTAAAATTATTATTAGTTTTCTATGGCACCACCAAGTGGCAGAAATAAATACTGTAAATGTATTTCTATGGTTTGTAAAATAATAGAATTTTCAATTATTAAAAAAAAAAAATCACCATTCCAGAAATAACATTCCAAAGAAAGAACATGCAACTTTAGCTAGAGGGCCTGTGTAAGTTCATTTTACTGAATTTAAAAATGTATTTTCCACTGCCTAAGCCAGTTCTGTCAGATGCATTGTTATAAAATCCCAGTTGATAAAATTAAGAATCTGTCCCTCAAAAAACAAGTTAGTTAGAATCTGTCCCTCAAAAGATAAGTTAGTGAAAAGGCAAGCCACAGAATGGAAGAAGATATTTGCAACATATATATCCACAGATAGAGGTCCCTTATCCAAATATATAAAGATCTCTTAAAAATCAATAAGGAAAAAAGACAACCAAATAAAAAATAGCCAAGAGATTTCAACAAGCACTTAACAAAGGAAGAGAAAGACCAATAAACATGCAAAAGGGTGTTCAGTTCCATTTGTAATCAGTAGGAAGTGAAATTAAAACCACAGTAAGATACCAATGTACACTCACACAAATGGCTAAAATTAAAAAGACTGACAAGTGTTAGGATATGGAACAAGAGAAACTCACACAAAATGCTGGTGAGAATGTAAAGTGGAACAGCAATTTAGAAAAAGAATTTGGTGTTATCTACTCACTTGAAAAGGTAAATATTCATGATCTAGCCATTCTACTCTTAAGTGCATCCAGTAAAAATGTGTGCATGTATTCACCAAGAATATTCATAGCAGCATTATCCATCATAGCCCAAAAACCCAAAACAAAAAGACTCCAAATGTCTGTCAACAGAATGGATGGGTGATTGTACATTCATACTATGAAATACTAAATAGCAATGAAAAAAACTATAGCTACAGCAATTTGAGATAGATCTCAAAAAAATAATCCAGTGCAAAAAAAGCTAGAATATCTATATCTATATATATATAGATATATATATATATAGTATGTCTTCGTTTATGTAGTGTTCAAAAAATGGCAGAACTCAAAGGTTCAAGGATGCATGCTTGGGTGAAACTAGAAAGAAAAGTAAGGAAGTGATTACCATAAAAGTCAAGAGCGTGATTACATTAGGGAGGGAGGAAATGGTAACTACCTGGAGGGGGGCATGAGATGGGCTTTGGGAGTTTGGGCAATGTTCTATTTCTTATCTGTGTGATAGTGACACAGGTGTTAAACTTCACGATAATTCCTTGCAACGTACATTTTTGTTTTGTGTACTTTTTTTGTATCAGTGTGACGTTTCGCAATAATGGAATTTTTTTAAAACCTTGATTATCTCATGTTTGCCAACAATAGTTCTCTATCTATAAACATAGTATACTTGTAGGGAATGGTGTAAATGAAAATTACTTGGAATTATCATAAATATGCAAGTGCTGGGATGATCATTAAAACATTTAAAAACATACTGTTTTTTTTTTTTTTTCAGTTGCAGATGTCAGAAACTAAACTCGCTGAACTAAACTCAAATAGCTTGGACTCAAAGAGGGAATTTACTGGAAGGGTGTGTGGCTATCTCACAGAACACTAGGAAGAAAAGAGGAGCTGCAGGAGCTCAGGTACAACTTAGACCAGAATCTGAGTGCTTCTGTAGCCCTCACATTGTCTCTGCCTCTTCTTGCAGGTCTCTTTCTGCTTCTATGGGGTAGCAAGTATACTAGCAGGTCCCAAACCTCCCATCCCATAGTTTTGCCTCCATTACCTCTGGAGAGGAACTAGGTTGCTTAACTTAGTTCTAGTTTGAAAAACCCCAAGGATTTTTCTGATTGGCTCCACTTGGGTCAGCTGTCTATCCCTGGGACAGTCAGCTCTGGCATGAGGTCTTAGTTACATAGGACAGGCAAGTCAGCTGGGAGAATCCCTAGGGCAGGCCATGACCAAGCCAAAAGAGACTAGATCATTCTTTCCCCAAATGAAGATTTCTGTGGCCGATGCCAGCAGGGTAAGCAAGGGACACCTCACCAAAGGGCCAGTAAGCAAGGGACACATCACCAAAGGGCTAGTGAAGACCAAAAAGCAGCATTAGGACCTGCTTGTTGTAGGTCCAATATCCATGCCCTGCCCTTTGAGAGCACACACCTGGAATCCATCTCAGGAGGTGAGAGAGAAGGGACAAAACTCAGAACAAGTGAGCATTTTCTGATGAGAGGGATTGTTGTAAACCAAAAGAAAATTATTTTCACTGAGGAGAGTGGTATATCATTAATTGATGAGTAGGTCTTTTCCCTTCCAGTGGAGTGGAGACTTCTAAGGAAGACTGGATCTGTCATAGAGAAAGGAGAGGCTCTGTTTTCTCTGCACACCTAAGCATAGTATGAATCAATTGTAGTCACACAGCATGAGCAAGAAGAAAGCTTCATTTGCATTGTTCTTACTCCACCCTGAACAATAGATCTGGCATAAAACAGGACTCGGTGGCTTCACTATGCATCACGGAGGGATAATAGGTTGCCATCTTCCATACAGTAAACCATGCAGATGAAGTTAGACCCTGGGGCAGAAAAGGGGACTAAGACAGGAATCATCCAGGTCTTGCCTGAAGAGCTATCTCACCTTTATATGGAGTATGTTCCACATCACAAAGATTGGATACTTTTGAGCTGGTATCCAATGGCTGGGTTACATAGCTATTTTTTATTTAGACAATGGCTGAGACACAGATGAAAAGTGAGATACTAAGTGAACTTGGGGAATGCATAATTTGGGGGGGGTCTCAAATCCTTGTTAACATTGAAGAATAGCTCCTGATTTCAGAACTATTTTAAATGCAATGCCATTCCCCAAATAACTTACTGAATCTGAGAGTAAGTGACTCATATATGAATACATAGCACATTTAACCTCTCATGTCTCTAAAAAATAATGGAGGCAAAAATTGGATTTTGCCAATTTATAGTAGCCCCTTGTCTGTAGTGTTTACAGTAAATCCTCATTATTCATGGACTCTGTACCTGTGAATTTGCCAACTTGCTAAAATTTGTTTATAATCCCCAGATCAATTCTCATGGGACTTTCATGGTCATCTGCAGACATGCACAGAGCAGTGAAGAGTCTGAGTCACCCAGAGCCCATGTTCCCAGCTGAAGTCAAAGAAGAAAATGTTCACCTTCTCGTTTCAGCTCTCATACTGTAAACATGTGACCTTTTTGCTGGTCTATTTAGTGCTACATTTTTTTTTTTTGCATTTTTGTTGGTGATTTTGCTATTTAAAATGGCCCACAAGCCTAGTGCTGCTGAAGAGTTATCTAGAGTTCCTAGATACAGGTGTATGATAAGCTTTGTTCAGACAGAAGTCATAGTGCTGTTGACCACCAGTTCAATGTTAATGAGTTAACAATATATATTAAATAAGGTGTCTTTAAACAGAAACACACATGAAACAAAGCTATATATTGATCGGTTGGTGAAAATGTTGTGACCAGAGGCTCACAGGAACCTACCCCTATAGATTCCCTCAGAGTAATATTACTCGATAATTCAGTGTTTGCTACAATGTATAGAACATAACTACTGTAAGTAATGAGAATCAACTATATATAGATGGAGAACAATGTGAAACTTCCCTTGGCCACACAGATGATGACCAGTTATGCCATCAGTAAAGTCACATGTTTACTGTCTTGGCTACAGGATATGTTTTCCATGTTTGCACACATCTGAAATTCAACAGCTCCTTTCAAGTTTCACAGCTTTCTCCATGCCCTTTAAATCGTACGTTCTACTTCATAGTAGCTTGCTGTATGCTGCAGCTACTACAGTGACATTGGAAATCCAGCTAGCCCCATCAGCACCTCCCCAAATAGTCACCAAGATAACTAAGCAAAGATTTTCACTGGTCTGGTTTCACAATCCCCATGGCTGTGATTACCAGGATAATGAACAACAAAGAGTGTTTATATGGGTGGATATAGGGGAAGGATTGAGGAAGGCAAGTGGTGGGCCTTTCATTATAACATACTATCCTTGTTGTTATTTTATTTTTAATCCAGTGAGATCATGCTTATCACTCTACCATGAAATGAAAAGAAAAGGGGAGGAGGTGAGCAGGAAAGAAAAGAGTTTTCTTCACATGATTTTCTAGTTCCAAAGTTCAGGTTTAGTAATAAGAGCTCAGTGAAGCAAAAATCTGAACAAAATCTGATGATTTGCAACTTAGAGGAGTCCTACTAAAAATAGGAATTCTGCACTTTGAAGTTTTGCAACTGCTTCCTTTGGCTTTGCCCCAGTGCTTGCCCATCTCAGTTACAGCAAGACTGAAGACCAGCCGAACAAACACAGCATCCTGACGTCCTTGCCCAAAGTCACCTGGCAGAACCAAAACTAGAACCCATGTACTCCACCTCTACTACAGATTGTATATTCTCTAAGTTAGGTTAAGTACCACCATGTAGGAAATGTTTTGCTCTTTAGCTTAAAAAGTCAGAAAAGAAATGAGTCCTAGATTATGGGTGAGGTACCAAAGCAAGCCTTATACTTCTTGGTATTCATCTTCACCTGTACCTACACGCAGTAGATAATCACTGGAGTTGTCTGGTGGGGGAAGAGGTCAGGGCTGGTCTAAATATCCTGGGGTTGCTCACATAATCTGAGGGCAGGGTCTCGGGGAGTGGTTGGGATGATGATTAGTAGTGTTGAACATGCTTTCGTGTGTTTATTGGTGTCCTCACTTTTTAGGGATGCTTTACTACTGCCCATGGTTTATATTCTTACTCTACTACAAATGTCACTATTTTATTCCTTGCCAGTATCATGTAAAGAGACTGAGTAAGGGCACACGTCTCTGAACTCTGTAAGTAGACCTTTGGGGACAAGCTAGTAATGCCTTACTCCATAGCTCTACAAATATTACTGTCATCTGAGAGGCCAAAATAAATGCCCCTATTTCACTAAAACTGACTGTAAGGTCCCTAAGATTAAAGAAACAAAGTTACCTATCGGTTGAGGGTTCAGAGCCCAGCGGGCATGGCAAATTTCTAAATTCCTATAGCTAGGCTCCCTAACAGTAGGGGCTAGCAACTCCGATTTACAACCAGACCACTACATCTCTGATGGGACAGAGGGCTGGCCTTACAAACATTCTTTTCTGATAAGCAATTGCAAACCCTAAGCCAGTTTCAGCCAGCTTACCAATGCTTCACGCAAACCCTCTTTGTGTCCTATAGATCACCTTTTGATGTAAAGAACCAAATTCCACCTCATTTTAATGCTAAAAACCCATCTCAAAGTGAACATGGGATGTATGTTTCATATATGTTTACTCATTGTGCATGCATCAGCTCCCTTCATAAATATGTATAGTTTTTTTCCCCAAACCTGCTGAATATGTATGATACCAGCCTTGTGAGGCATTAAACCCAACCAGTCCCTCCCCTCTTCAAAGAGGGAGCACCTTCGGTCTGCACTGGAGACTTTCTCTTCCCAGCTTGTAAACTGATATTGCCACTAAAGCCCTCCTTTCTGCTATTTAGCCATCCTGGTGGTCTTTTGGACAATGGCACCAATCATGAGCCCTCACCTAAGGGTACAGGTCTGCTGAAAAACAGCCTTCTAACCATTCTCCCTGACTCCAGCTTACCCTCCTTCCTGCCACAGATACTGGCTTCATAAATTAAAAACAGCTTCCTATTTCCATAGGAAAAGATCGAATTTCTGGGCCTCATCCCACTTTCCTACACTCTGCTTCAGGAGTTCCGATTTTCAGTCCACTTCCCCAACACCCCTCTGTGTCTTAGTGCACACCCTCTGCCTTACTCTTAGTGCCTTCCCTGCTCCCCGTCACCTCCACAGATCCTCCTCAAACATTACCTCTGCCTCTTTCTCCCAGTCATCCTTTCTCTGGTGTCCTTCAACATTTTTAAAATCTAGACCATTATTGACACTTATTTTCTTTCATTGATAATTGCCCATTGTACCATCTTGAGTCACGTGCCCTAGACTAAACTGCAAGATCCTTAGTGTGAGGTCTGCGTCTGATTCAGCCCTTATACTCAGTGATGCCTGGGAACAAACATACTTTCAAGACAGCCCAGAGTTGTGCCTGCAGCATGTGGACAGCTGTGCAGGGAAGTCCATCGCCAGAAAGAAAGTAATCACATCACACTCCCACAAGCCAGTGTTTCTTTGTTTTTCCCATTGCATTTCTGCCCATGTGGAGGTCATCTTGGATAGGTTTTCAGTTTTGCCTTCTCTCCCTGCTCTCTCTTCCTCTCATCTCCTTCCTTCATTGCCCCTTGCCCCAGGCTTCCTGCCTCCCCTTCCCAAAGCCCCTGGTTCCATTCTAGAGGCCCACCCTATAGCAGCAGTGGTCCTTTCCATGAGCCCTGTAGACTCTTGCCTGTCAGAGCAAAGCACTTAGGAGGCAGTTGATTTTTAATTTATTTTTTTAATTTTTGCTAATGTTGACTGCATCTCCAAGCATAACTTCAGTGCTTGTAAGGCTGCCAAGTCTCTGTGTCTTTACTTTCACTTGTCAAAGACCACCCTCACCACCAAGGGAAGGAAGGACAATAGCACAGAAAAAAAAATCTGACTTGCCACATACATAGTGTATGTATTTGCATAGCCCTGAATTTCAAGGAAGAAGATTGTTATTCACTGTTTCCTTCCCAAGCCAATACACTAGCAGCATCCAAATCTGTTTGCTGTTCTGTCTCCACTGCCATCACATCTTGTTCTGAACGCCTGGAAAAGCCTCCCAACTGGTTTCTCTGCTTCCATTCTTGTCCAGCTACTATCCTTTCTCCACATTTCACCCAGAGTGGTCATTTAAGGCATATCACTCTTCTTAAAACTCTCACGATTCCCCAGAGCACTTAGAATAAAATCTGAATTCCTAACCATGGCTGGCAAGCCTTTCCATGGTCTGGTTCCTACAACCTCTTCACTTCAAATGATAGTTATCTATGGCTGCATAACAAACCACCCCAAAAGATAGTGACTTAAAACAGCAATATTTTATTATTTCTCATCAGTCATTAGGTTTTTCTGCTGGTCTCACCTAAGATCACTCATACAGCTACAGTCAGCTTGATAGCACAGCTGTGGCTGGAAGGTCTGAATGCCTCATTGACATGGGCAATTGGTGTGGGCTGTTGTCTGGGCTCCTCAGTTATTCTCCTTGTGGCCACTTATCTTCCAGTAAGCTAGGCTGAGCCTTGCAGCATGGTGGGGTTTCAAAAGGGTCATGGGGCTGGGCGCAGTGGCTCACGCCTGTAATCCTAGCACTCTGGGAGGCCGAGATGGGTGGATTGCTCAAGGTCAGGAGTTCGAAACCACCCTGAGCAAGAGTGAGACCCCCGTCTCTATAAATAGAAAGAAATTAATTGGCCATCTGATATATACAGAAAAAATTAGCCGGGCATGGTGGTGCATGCCTGCAGTCCCAGCTACTAGGGAGGCTGAGGCAGGAGGATTGCTTGAGACCAGGAGTTTGAGGTTGCTGTGAGCTAGGCAGACGCCACGGCACTCACTCTAGCCTGGGCAATTAAGCAAGACTCTGTCTTAAAAAAAAAAAAAGGGTCATGGTAGCAAAGCGTCAAGGCCTCTTAAATTCTAGGCTCTGGAACCACTGCCATTTTCAATTGATAAAGCAAGTCACAAGGCCAGTGCAGAGTCAAGGGGGTAGAAAGAGCAGCAACATCCATTGCAAAGGGGCATAGACATAGGGAGGCGTGATTCTCTGGGTGCCATTACTACAGCAATCTACCACCCCTCACCTCCTCCACTGCCATTCTTTCTGTTCCTCAAACATACCAATCTTCAGAAAATTTGTACTTGTTTTTCCCTAGTGGCACCCTACAACTTCTAGGTAGGAGGGTTTTAGGAGGAGAGATCTGGTTGGAAGAGAAAACTAGGTGGGAGATGTAAAGTTGAGTTTGCATAGTGAACATACTGTTTTTACTTATTTGGCTTGGTCCAAGGGAGTTAAACCCCCACTCCAACTAGCTCTTCCATGGTGCCATTGCTCATTATACTTGGCCTGGTCTTTCACAGATCTTGGCATGACTACCTTCCTCTTACCACTCGGGCCTTAGCCCACATATCACCACTTCAGAGAGACCTAATCCTACCACCTACTAAAATACTCCCCCACCCTCTCTGCCTTATTATTTATTTTCTTCATAACACTTACTTCCATCTACTGATTACCAGAGGCAAATCAGCAGCTTTCATGGGATCCTCATTGTATCTTACCTCTAAGGGCTCTAAGAACCTTCTCCAGAAGGACCTCCCAGGGCACAATCTGTGGAGAGCCAGCTGCAGATACCCATCAGCACCTCGTGTTAGGAAGAATAATGGCCTCCATAGAATCCACGTTCTAGTCGCTGGAATCTATACACGTGTTAGGTTACATGGCAAACAGGAATTAAGTTTGCACATAGAATTAAGGTTGCTAATCAGATCTCCAAAGAGAAAACTAAAGAGATGGTGGTGTGAAAAGGACTGAGCCTAACACTGCTAACTTTGAAGATGGAGGAAGGAGGCCAAAAGCCAAGGAATGTGGGCGGAGAAGTGAGTAAAGGCAAGGAAAAGGATTCTCCCTTGGAGCTTCCAGAAGGAATACTGATAACCCTGCTGACATGTTAATTTTAGCCCAGTGAGAACCCTTTCCAACTTCTGACCTCTATAACTGTAAGATAATAAATTCGTGTTGTTTTAAACCACTAAGTTTGGGATAATGTATTATACCAGTAATAGGAAACTAAATAATCCCCAGGTGAGACAAGGAAATAAATCACAAGACTGTGCCCAGATCCTCTCTTCTACTGTGTCCTAAGGCCATTGACCATCTTGGCTCAGAGTGTAGTCCCAGACAGATGTTCCGACTCCCCAGCTGCCTGCTGTCTGTTGGAGTGGCTGCCCTGTAACGCTGCAATGGCCGTGAACAGTGGTGTGCTGGAGCAGGCTCACACTGGCTCGTGAGCGCTGACTGTTAAATTTTCAGGAACTGTGAAAGCCACTTGTTAAATACAGTCATCATTAAAAATTAAATTATATTAACTTACAATTAAATAAAATTAAATTATAAAGAGAATAAATATTTAAAACCCATCACTTCTTTATTTCACTATGTTCCCTATATTTGCCCATTATCTATGCTCATCAAGTTATTTACATCTATTGTAATTATATGGTGGAAATATTATATAATGGTAAGCTACACATATCTTTGCAACTCTGCATTCAGTGACATCATGTTGGTAGCTTGAAATGGGCCATAATGGGAGTATTTGCCATAGAAATAGGCAAATGCTACAGATCAGGCCTTCTCCCTGCCCCCATCCGAGAGCCGGTTATATATTTGCCACCTGCATATAGGACAGGTGATGTATAAACTTGGGGTGTTGACAACAATTTCAGGGTGTTCTTTGTAAATACCACAACAAAGACCACAAACATCCGTGCAGAGCAAGTCCCAAGAACCACCAAAATAAAATTCATCTGCTAGGCCCCTTGAGGCCTCACAGAGTCTGGATCTAATTCATCTTTGTTGTCCCAATAAAATGATTGCTCAATAAATTTCAACTGAATAAAGAAATAAATTGATTATTTTCTAAGGGGAAAAGTTAAATCTAACTTGACTAAAACTCTTTGGATTTTATAATGACTAGAACTTTTATTCTATAACTGTTATTGTGAAAATTATTTCAATTTAATTACTGGTTAATTTAAATCAGTAAGAAATGTTCCCTAAATGTTAGTAATTATTATTACTTTTTTAATTTTGGGAGACAGAGTCTTGCTCTGTCGCCCCAACTAGAGTGAGGTGGCATCATTATAGCTCACTGCAGCCTCAAACTCCTGGGCTAAAGTGATCTTCCTGCCTCAGCCTCCCGAGTAGCTGGGACTACAGGTGCACACCACCATGCCTGGCTAATGTTTTCTATTTTTAGTAGAGACCAGGTCTTGCTTTTGCTTAGGCTGGTCTCAAACACCTGAGCTCAAGTGATCCTCCCACCTTGGCCTCCCACAGTATCATTACAATTATTAATGTTTAGCCCATTGATCCAAGTCCATTAATATATCAATGTTCTTCCATATTAGGCATCTCTTTCTTAAAGCAAGATGAGGGAGTTCTAATATTTACATTTTAAATAGTACTTTATTGTGAGAGCTTTTCTTGTCTTAGCCTTTAACAAGTTTCTTACAATCAATAAGCCAGATTAAAAATTTTCACTAGCAATTAAAGACAAATAGTTACATAAGTTCCCTGACTTTCCTATATGACAACAATTAGGGAAAGTTCATGAAGGAAGCTTCTTTATAGAAGAATTACAGGTAATAAATGTGGAGGATAATAGAATTTTAAAACCACCATTTTGCAATTTCTAACAAAAAATTGATTCAAAGTAAAGACTGTCTGAAACGATTAGATGAGGAGTTAATATGGAAGTTTACATGGGGGAAATCAGGCGGCCACCCTCTGGATCTACCGATCAGTCTTAGTGTCTTAATTACAAGCGGGCAACCGAGCCACTTACTTGCTTTCCGATGAGACAAAGAATGAAGCATATAGCACCACTTCTGAGTCATTCTTGCCGAATTGCTTAAACTGAATTTCATCTAGGCTTTAGATTCAACTTCCAGTTTATAAGAACCCTGGGATTAGAAAGACAAATTAAAAGTGTTGGCCGGGCTCGGTGGCTCATGCCTGTAATCCTAGCACTCTGGGAGGCCGAGGCGGGCAGATTGCTCAAGGTCAGGAGTTCAAAACCAGCCTGAGCAAGAGCGAGACCCATCTCTACTAAAAATAGAAAGAAATTAATTGGCCAACTAATATATATAGAAAAAATTAGCCGGGCATGGTGGCGAATGCCTGTAGTCCCAGCTACTCAGGAGGCTGAGGCAGCAGGATCGCTTGAGCCCAGGAGTTTGAGGTTACTGTGAGGTAGGCTGATGCCATGGCACTCACTCTAGCCTGGGCAACAAAGTGAGACTCTGTCTCAAAAAAAACAGTGTCACCACAAGGAAGTTGATGGACATGTGCAGAATGTCGAACTACTAGACTACTGAAAAAACGGGAGGAGAAGAGACATAAGGTTTTTCTCACAAGCTAAACATATTCATACACTATGACCAGTTATTCTACTCTGGGTGTTTACCCAAGAGAAAAGAAAACATACATCCACAAAAAGATGGAGGCAAAAATATGAATAACAGCTTTATTCATAACAGCCTAAATTGGGAGCAATCCAGATGTCCAGGAGGAGGAGTGTGCATAAGCAAACTGTGGTATATATGCATGCCCTGGAATACAACTCAGCAATAAAAAGAAACAGGCAACAACGTGGATAGACCTCAGGAGCACCATCCTGAGCACAAAAATCCATACACAAAAAGTACATACTGTATGTTTTCATTTTATATAAAATTCTAGAATAGGTAAAACTTATCCAAGGTGAAAGAAATCAGAGCAGTGGTTGGGGGTGAGGAGGGAGTTGACTGCCACGACGCAGGAGGTGACTTTCTGAGGTGACAGAAATGTTCACTATCTTGGTAAGCATGTCGGTTACCAAATGTATGCATCTGTCAAAACTCATTGAACTGTATGTGTCATACCTTGCATTTCACTGTAAGTAAAGATACATCAATTGAGAGGGAGGGAAGGAGGGAGGAAGAGCAGGGGAGGGAAGGGGGAAGGGAGAGGGAGAGAAAGAGAAAGGGAGGCCCAAGAGACATGAGACATAATGTGTGGACTTCCGGGATCCACAAACAACTGCAAAAAGTTTTCAAGAAAACCTAAATGTAGACTCTTTGGGCATTTAGATGACTCCAAGGAATTATGAAATTTTAGATGTGATAATGGCATCTAGCTATATAAGAAAATGCTCCCAGTTTTTAGAAATGCATACTGCATTTCTAAATGTCTAAAGTCACATAATGTCTGGGTTATAATACTTCAGGGAGAAAAAGAACAGATAAGAAAATAAAAAGGGGCGGGGCGCGATGGCTCATCCCTGTAATCCTAGCACTCTGGGAGGCTGAGGCGGTGGATCGCTCAAGGTCAGGAGTTGGCGACTAGCCAGAGCAAGAGTAAGGTCCTGTCTCTACTAAAAATAGAAAGAAATTATCTGGACAACTAAAAATATACATATAGAAAAAATTATCCGGGCATGGTGGCGCATGCCTGTAATCCCAGCTACTCGGGAGGCTGAGGCAGGAGGATTGCTTGAGCCCAGGAGTTTGAGGTTACTGTGAGCTAAGATGATGCCAGGGCACTCTAGCCAGGGCAACAGAGCCAGACTCTGTCTCAAATAAATAAATAGAAAGGTGTATATAAAGTGAGAGGGACAAAAGCTTGATACTCCAGAACCTGGGTGGTGGGTATACGGGGGTTGATCGTTTATTTTACTCTTTTGTGTATATTTGAAAATTTCCACGATAAAAAATTGGCTGCCGTAGGTAAACAAGGAGACAATATAATACCCACAGTATCAAAGCAGAACGTATATGGAAGCTCGCCGACTAATGTTCTTTTTTCTTATCAGACCAGAGATCAGCTCTCCCTGCTCTTTTTTCTACCTTGGCTGATTGTTCACTTTTTATTAAAATCTACGCATTCCAAGACCTTAATGACTAATGGATTACACGAATCACTTTTATTCTGTATTTCAATCAACAAATGTTTATTGAGAAGTAACCGTGAACGTGCACCGCTGCGAACCCAATTCTGCTCCATTCTCCTACCCAGAAGCGCCGCTTCCCCGACTGGGGCTTTGCGCCTGCTGTGATCCCGCGTCGCCACCAGGGGGCGCGCCCTCCCTGAATTTGCTCCGCGGCTGCTCGGGAAAGATAAAATCAGACCCGCAGTCTGAGTAACTACTCACCTGTCTTTTGAAGCGCCGAGCCCAGTATTTGTAATTGTTTAGGCACGTCTCTGGTGACCTCATCCCACGATACCTGAGTCTTTTTGAGGAAACAATTAGCCTGCTTGAACAGAACAGGTAAGGCAAATTAGTAACTGGAAAATTACTAAGTCCTTCTGCGGGGCGTGTTGGGGCGCCCTGTGCTCCCCGGGGGCTGAGAGCGAGGGTGTGCACCCTTCCTCCTCACTTGATGGCCGGGAAGGGAGACGACTCACCCTCCCTCCGCGGGGCGCAGCCCCTTGTCTGGCCTGGGTAGGCTGGCGGGCAGAGCCGGGCCTCACGGGGACAGACCTCCAGGGTGGGGAGACCCCACAGACGCGGCCCACCCTGATCGGCCACGTGCGCCGCAGGCCCGGGAGCTGGTCCTCCTCGCCATCCCTGGGCCCTCTGGCTCCTTCCGGCCGCGCACTGAGTGTGGGCTGGGTTCCAGCCGGGGCCCTCTGCAGCAAGGCCACGGGGACCCGGGCCGAGGGAGCCGGTGAGCAAGGGAGGGACCTCTCTCCCCTGTAGGCTGCAGCGCTACTTCCTGCTCACGAAAACCCTGGGGAGGTGAGGGTCCCATGGCTCCTTCTGGGCAAGGAACAGACGTCCTGGTAGCCAGCACGGCCTGCACCGACAGCCCCTGCCCCTCGGCGGCGTCCTGCGCCCGGGCCTGTGCCCGCTAGGGTGGCATCGCCGGGCATCGCCGGGCCGGGCCTCCCCAGTCCCAGCTGCCGGCCCCTGTCGGGGGCCCTTCCAACATCTGAGCGTGTCCTTCAAAGCTTCTGCCACGAACCGTCAGCCCATGCTCTGACTCCCCCACTAGACTCCAAGCTACATCGGAACTCCAGTCTTTCCATGAAACTTTGTTGAAAAATAGAAAACACTTCCTCTACTTCTTCATCACAACCCCAGGTGGTGAACCAGGTCTCGGAGGCCGTTGCGAGGAGACCTCAAGGAAAGTGGCACGGGGGCAAAGAGAGTATTTGAGAACAGAGAACCTTCCCGAAGCCCCTCGCATCACACCAGAGCCAGCTGTCTCCTTTCCCTGAGTGGGAAGCTGACCCTCGCCCGGGGTCAAGGGAGATCGGAGCTTATGAAAGGCAGGAGTAAGGGCTGCGGAGAGAAAGTGGGAGAGCATGATAGGAGCAGATAATAACCGGAACGCCTTCGTCCTCGCCCGCTGGGCGCCCGCTCCCTCTGGGATATCTCCCCACAGCCCCTGCTGTAGGCCCGCCCAGCACAGCCGTCACCAGAGGGGCCCTCCAGGGGGAGAAAAGGGATCAACCAATGTGAGAATTAAATCCGGCTACCGTTCATTTATGCATTCATGTGTTCGTTAACAGACGCCAGTGGGTGACTTGTGCCAGGCACTGGTATAGGCACCGGGCCACAGCAGGCAAGAGGGCGGGCCCAAATCCCCGCCCTCCTGGAGCTGGCATTCTAGGGGGTGGGGACACAGCATAAATAATAAACATAATAAAGTAGTGCATTCTACAGTAGATTAGAATGCTGTGAGGAAAACAGGCCAGTGTAAGGGGCCAGGAGAGTTGAGGGGGTTAGAACTCATGGTCAGTTAGCCCGGTTTAGAAGATGAGGACGTTTGAGCAAGAACTTATAGGAAGAGGAGGAATAAGCAGATCCCACAGTGCCCGTTATCTGGGGGAAGTGTTCCAGGGACAGGGAGTAGCCAGGGCAAAAGTCCCTGAGGTGAGAGTTTGCTGGCCTTTGAGAAACAGCAAGGAGGCCAGTGTGGCTGGAGCAGAGGGGAGGGAAGCAGGAGAAGAGGTCAGGTTACAGAGGGCCTCATGGGCAGTTATAAAATAAAGGCTTTGTGGGCTTTCGCTCCAAGAGAAATAGGTCACCACTGGAGCATTGCCGTGCTGGTAAACTGGGCCTCAAACAAAGCAAAACAAAACAAAGAACTCCCTGGTTTGTAGCATTTGCCAATTTCTATGGTGTAAACACTCTTGCCATGGCCTGTTTTGACATCACTGAACATAGAGCAGGGAAGGGATGAGCAAGATCGGCTCTCACTGACCAGTGGGAGCACCCCTGCCTACCACCATGGAGGGACTGAGCAGAGCTATGGCACGATCTGACTTGTGTTTCAAGAAGGCGACTCTGGCTGCTGTGTTGAGAGCAGAATATGAAGTATGGGGCAGCATGAGCAGGAGGAGGGCCGCGCAGGAAGCTCTTACAGTGATCCCGGTGAGAGAGGATGCTCTCAGAGATTAGTGGGAGTGGAGGCAGTGAGCTGTAGCAGATTCTGGGTATATTCTGAAAGAGGTATATGGAAACCCATCTGGACTTTCTGGCAGACTGGATGTGGGGTGTGAGGGAAGGAGAGCAATTCAGGGTGGCTCCAACGTTTAATGGAAGTTCTGGGGAGAATGAGAGGAAAGGCATCCCAGGCCTAGGGAACAGCATGTGAGAAGCCATGCTCATAAGCACACATTCTATTTGGGGAAAAGAAATGAGAGGGTGTGACTGGTGAATCAGTTGTGTGAGCAGAGGCAGCAGACAGGACTAGAGAAGAGGGTCCTGCCCAGGTGTACCACAGAGAGGAGCCAGGACTTGGGCCGTAGCCAGTGGAGAACCACAAAGAGGCTTTTATAGAGAAGTATGTGGTTAGGTTCATAATATTAAAAAATAACTGAAGTAACTGGAGGCAATGAGACCAGTTCGCTGTAGCATCAGTGTAAGAGGGAGAGCATGAGTCTGTCATCTGGACAGCGGTGGTGAGGCTAGACAGAAGAAGAAGGGTTGAGAGAGCCTGAAGGTCGCGGTACCAGTTCTAGGGCCAACCTTGCATGTAGATGAGGGAACACAGTGGACACACTATACAAGATGGTTCTATAAATCAACAAATCAGCTAATTGATGTCTTATCCTTACAAACCTCCTCCCATCCTCCCACTTATCTCCCAATCTAAAATGTCTTTCCTACATTACAAATAACCATACTGTTTCGAAGTATGGTTTAAATGCACATGCCCCTGTGAGAGAGCTGGAAGTGTTCTCACTCTTACTCTAGGGGTGGTTGCGTGAGTGTACCTACATAAAGATTTTTCAAGCTGTACAGGTCAGATTTGTGTACTTTATGGTCATATGTTTTCACTCCTTGGAGAGGCAATACACATGTTGCCTGGCCATGACTCACTCTACCATGTAGATGACAGAACACAGAACCCTTACTTTAACCAAGCTCTTGTTTCTAAGAGGAGGAAGAGACCAGAAGTATTGGACTAGGACAGAGGAGGAAAAGAAAGTAGAAGGCACAACAAACTAGAAACTACTCTCTTGTTTGCTCTTGAAAATTCTTGTAGCCAGGGTTATCTGTAACATACAAACCTTCCAATTTAAGTAACTCCTTAGTTAAGGTGTGCATGATGGGAGGAAAAAGGACAGTGCTGGTACTTGGTGGTAGGCACAATACCACAAGACACTCAGGGTCCAAATTTGTGTGTCCAAAGTTGTGCAGGACAAATCCAAGATGTCATTTTTTTATGGCACTATAAAACCCCTGGTTCACCTATCCTAGAGGAAGCTTACTTCTTCTGTCCTTCAAATCACTTCCCACTCCATGAATGCCTTCTCTCATCCTCCAAGGCCAGCAGGAGGACAATCTCTTCCAAAAAGCTTCTCTGCACAGCACTTGTAGTCATAGGCCCATAGACTATTCCAGATGGGTCATGAAGTCCAAACTGCTCCTATACCACAGAATACAGTTATTATTTACTTAGATGCAGTCTTGGGTTGTTTTTTTTCATACTTAATAGTTTCGTTTCCCCAGTTAGCCTGGAAATGTGAATTCAGGGGCTCACCTAGCCAGGGCTGGGCTTAAAGAGGCTCTCAGGGCCGGGTGCGGTGGCTCACACCTGTAATCCTAGCTCTCTGGGAGGCCAAGGTGGGCAGATCGTTTGAGTTCAGGAGTTTGAAACCAACCTGAGCAAGAGTGAGACCCCGTCTCTACTATAAATAGAAAGAAATTAATTGGCCAACTAATATATATAGAAAAAATTAGCCGGGCATGGTGGTGCATGCCTACAGTCCCAGCTACTTGGGAGGCTGAGGCAGCAGGATTGCTTGAGCCCAGGAGTTTGAGGTTGCTGTGAGCTAGGCTGACGCCACGGCACTCATTCTAGCCTGGGCAACAAAGTGAGACTGTGTCTCAAAAAAAAAAAGAGGCTCTCAGGAATATTTACTATATTCAGATGACCCATGCTCCAAAAAGCAAAGAATAGATATTCAACTTTCATGCTCAGACTCTGAAGAGAGCACCCATTTGTCTCCACTAGAGTTGGAATCTCTGTAAAAGGGCCAGAAGAGTATGTGTGTGTGTGTGTGTGTATACATAGGTGTGTATCTTTGTAGGTGTGTTGGTTTTTCAGGGTATAAACATATAAATAACAACTCTCATTTATTAGATGCCTACTGGGCACCAAGAACTTGATATTCTTATTGAAGCCTCACAACAGCCCAGTTAGGAATGTAATTATGGAATTTCTCATTAATAAACCAGAGGCAAACTAGTTGTGAGAATGACATGTGACTCCCTGATTTATTTTATCTTTGGTGATATTTGATGATTCTTACAGCTTATTTATTTGCAAAATAAATTTTACTAATTTATCCTACTTACAGCTTTTATGAGCTTGAATTGTTTGTAATTCAGACTAAACTATACATGATAACCAAGATTAATAGGAAAAATACAAATGCATTTCTGCATTCAAACATTTATAATGAATGGTAATATTAATAGATGGAAAGCTCGAAGCCAAATGAATTTACTAAAAGAAAATGCTCATTTGAATAACTGCTAGATCAGGAAGAATAAATCTTGAGCTAAAAGCAAAATAATAATAATAATGATGTCAGTTACAAATGTATATTCTGCATGCTTTGGTAATTTGTCCTAAATTTTCTCTTAAGAACACAAATTGCAAAATGCCTCTGTTGCTATGTTTTTATTCAGAGAAGTGAAGAGACTCACCCAGGGTCACACAAATTGTCTCCTGACTCCCTTTGTCTACCTCTTGGCACACAGAGAAAGTCTGGCAAGAAATACAGCTGTCTCCATCCTCCATGTGGGTGCGGGCTGGGGCTCCTCGCAATGCAGGTGGAAATCCCCAGGAAATAGCCTTCATGAACCAACTCTAAGCCAGGAGTGAACAAAGATGAATCCTTTAGAAACAGATGCTATTCCACAGCTGTGTGTGTGTGTGTGTGTGTGTGTGTGTGTGTGTCCCCTCATGGGCATGCGCACACAGTGGGGGTTGGGGGTGCACTGCTGACTGACCCTCACTTCCTTTCTGGATGGGAACACATTTCACAACAAAAGATTTTCTGAGAACAAAGATTCCATAAAGTAGCTGGAAAAGTGCCTCTGACAGTCATGGGGTTGGTCATCAGGCGCACGCTTCACTCACCACATCCTCAGAAATTGTGACACCTCTGCCGGTGTTTGGTTTCCGTTGTCCTAGCAACGGCCATCTCTAAACAGTCCCTCTCCCGGGCACCTCTGAAAGAGGGGCAGAGGGCCCAAGGTTTGACTGTGTTTCCCAACCTCAGGTGAAAGTGGTGGAGACTTATCTGGGGAGAAAGTGAGGATTGAATATGCAAGGATGGTTATTGTTTATATTTGATTGTTTTACACTCCTCTCATTCCTATAAGGGCTCAGCAGCAAGTAGACATAGCCCCCAGCACAGTTCCACCCACAGGGGAGGCATTCAGACAACATTTGTGGATTGGATGGGATGGAGCAACATGATTTTAAAGGGGTTGTAACGTTTTACAGGTGAAGAAACAGAGAGGCTAAATTTTGTGCTCCAGGCAGCTCCACCGCAGAGCCTGCCCCAGGGCCCCTGCCGGCCTTTGCTCCAGCTTCGCCCCAGTTCAGCCTGCGGAGGTGCCTGTGGGTTCGCACGGGGTTCTCTGTCCCCCTGCTCTGCCTGGGCCAGTCTCCATAGGAGACACTGCTGCTTTGTGTTGCCCTCCTTGGCACAGGATGAAATCAGGTGGTCTCCATTCTTCCTGTTCCACTCTGCCAAGTCTATCTGAACACATTTCCTGTGCACAAAGCCAGCTCGCCAATTATCTGCTCCAATTAAGGAGAGCGAGATGTGGTTAATTCAGTCACTCCAGAGGGTTGACCAAGGCGAGCGGTGAGGCTGGCGGCGCTGGCCGCAGGTCCTCGCAGTGGCCCTGTGCATGCTGCTTCCCCTGGCACTCCTCCCTACCCCCAGATGGCCAGTGCGGTTTCCTCGCCTCCCCCTCCTTCCCTTCCCGAGTCCCTGGAGTTCCAGAGCTGTCTTGGCCTTGCCTCCCCTCCTTATCGACAGAGAGTTTCGTCCCAATCTGTGTCCTCTGATAAACTAATGTGTACAGAGTTGTTAGCGGTTAGAACATGGATTAATACTTAACTCTCTCAGAGAGAATTAGCTCTCAAGCGACATTGCATATGAGGCATCTTCTGCATTTGTGCCTAAAGCCTGGCTTGCCACAGATGAATATAAAAAGCATCCCTGTTTTGCTTTGAAGTGCAGACCCCAAACACTCAGCTCTCTATTGTCAATCCTTTCTGCCTCTTAGCAGTAAAGCAAAGAAAGTAGACAAAGGGCTGAGTGTGTATTAGTCTGTATCAGTTAGGACAGTAGGCATTGTCAAGACCAAAGCTCTCTCCCACCCCAAATTTATAGAGCAAATATCATGATCTGGAGAAGAATTTATAGATAATATAACCTACCTACACATACCTTCTCAAAAATTCAATCAGCATTATTTCTTGCCTGGAAAGATGCAAAGGAAAAATAAAAGGGAGTTAATTTATAATAAAGTAATAAATAAGTATTGTAATGTGGAAATGCTTGGGCCCAACGACACTAGGAGATAACAATGAAGGAGTCAAATACATTCCCCATGACTAGGGCAACTGTAAATGTAGATTAATACAATGTGTTATATTGGCTACAACTAGTGTTGCCAATGGTGATGTAACTTTGCAAATAAGCAAAGTAAAAGATTTCTTTGTTTTACATGGCAATTGAATTTCTGGAAAATTAGCTATGTCTGAATCCATGCAAAAAATATGTTGTGTTTATATGTAAAATATAGTTCAGTTCAAACCACAGATAATAATAAACACTTTGCTGTTGTCATTGTTTTAAATCTACATAAAGATTGGCAGCAGAACCTCCTAGGCTTTTGCATACTAAATACAAGTAGTCTTCCCATTCATTATGACAATAAAAAAATGCAATCCCCTAGCCCCCACAAATTTTCCAAAATGCCCTTAGTACGGTGCCTTCAACCAATAGAAAGACATTCCATTAGCAATTATCTTTGGTCACTACTAACAGAGTCCTCAAGTGACAATAGCGTAAATAAGATAGGGATTTGTTTTTATCTCAAATAAAATGAATCTAGAAGTTGGCAGTCTTAGGCTGGTTAGTCCAAGCCTCCTATTTTTTCTGCTCTAACATCCCTAGCATTGATTTCTAGCTTCACATTCATGGCCACAGAATGGTTGCTGAAGCTCCAGCCATTGTGTCTGTGATCTAGGTAGGAAGAAGAAAAAAAGGAGAAGACAGGAAGAACAAAGCCACCTAGTAGATGAATAAGCCTTCTTTAGGAGTACCCCTGAAAATCCCATCCAACAACTCTCTTTATATCTCATTGGCTAGCTCTGTCCTCAAAGCAGGCCTGAAAACATAATTTTTCAGTTAGGTATATTGATGTCTTTAATAGTACTGAGTCCTATAGTGAAGAAGCAGGAGTGAAGGGATATTGGATAGGCAGCTAGCTATCTCTTCCACATTGTTTCACCCACTGACAATGTCCAAGGAACCTGCTGTAGTTCCAAATGCAGATTCAACGCACAGGTCCTAAGAAAGGTCAGCAATCTTTTGGGTTGTCTGGCTTAGCATCTCAAGCTTATGTGGGTTTCAATTTTTGGTTCCTATTCCATGCAAGGGAACAGAGGAAAGCTTATCACAATTATCTATTCTGACTAGATCCTGTTACTAAAACAAACTGGGGACAATAGACCCATTGGAGGACGAGGGACTCAAACCCAAATAATTGCCTAAGTCTCTAGTGTGAGAAACCAAGATGATGGTGGTTTAGCTTCTCACATTTGATGTTTGTTATTCAAATGTATATGCATGTGTGTGTTTTCCAGAGTTTGTGCCAACCCCTCTGGAGTTCTCCTAGGGGAGTTCTGTTCAGTTTCACAAACATGTATTGCATCTCCTATGTTTCTCATGCTTTGTGCCAGGGATGCAAGATGAAACCAGCAAGGGACCTTCCCTGGAGAGCTTACAGTCTGGGCATGGGGTGAGGGGAGGGAGGAGGAAAGAGACAGGCCACTGTACTCTGAACGGGTCAGTGCAGTGGGGAGAGTTGTGCTGGACATTGTCTGTTCAGGACAGCCACCACAATGCCATACCTAGTAGGTGCTCAATAAATAGTTGTGTTTGGACTTGTAATTCTTTCTGTGGTGCTTGGAGTGGAATATGTTCTTTTCTGAGCTGAGGTTTCTTGGACCGAGGAGTTACTCACAGCTGCTTCTACTGCTGAATGTTGTCTTCCCTTCCATTTCCTTCAGTCAACTCTGCCCTAGAAAAAGTTCCTGAAATATGTTTTCATTTTCAACCTTGCAGAAATCCTTTTTGGACTGAAACCATGCCAAACTCTTGGAACTGGGAAATATCCAGAGATATGCAAAGATAATAAAAATAATGTCGGTACTTGGAAATTTCTATTTCTTACTTAACCTCAAAACCACTCCGAGGGCAATTTGGCAACAGTTTTCAAAGTTTGCATAAAATGTTTATACCCTCTGACCTGGCAATTCCTATTTATACCAAGAAAATAAGTAAGGATATATACAAAGATTTAAAAATAGGGATGTTTGTTAGAGCTGCAGTTATAGTAACAAAAGACTGGAAACCACCTGGATGTGGTTGTTTCCAACCAATAACCAATAACCAATAAAAGCAGCTGAGTGAATCAATATGGCACATCCCAGATAACAACCCATTGCACCCACTTGAAATGATTCATTTAACAACTGTTTATTGATTACCTGCCACGTGCCAGGCACTGTTGCAAATAGAAGGATACATTAGTTATTAAAACAATGTGGAACTCACATTCTGGTTATGTGCTATAATTGTATTTATTGACATGAAAATAAATTCTTTCACTATTAAGGAAAAGAAGGCAGGTTACAAAACAGTAGTAGTAATAATAATGGCTAACATTTACAAAGCATGTATTATGTGTCAAACATCATTCTAGAAGCTTTATTTATCCTAAATCATTTTATTTATATAAGAACCCAGTATGATACAATACTTGTTTAAAAATATTTTTTATATTTGTTGCTATTTTGTTGAATGAGACCAACACAAATGCAATAATAAAGCAACTACTTTCTTTCTTCCACATTTATTTCACATCCACTCTCAGGATCTGCCCTTTTTCTTGCTATTGGATAAAATCTCGGGCAGATCTCACAGCTCACTGGTCCTCTTTAGTCAGTCGGACTGTCTTACTCCAATAATTAGAATGTCCAGCCCAATCTGAACTTCTTACATCTGGAAGGGCCTCTCCTCCTTCAAGCTTGCCAGCCTGAGGAAGTGGCAGGTAGGTTAGCAGTTGCCACCTTCCCTCTCAAACTCTTCCTCCTTCCTTCTCTGGCCCCTCAACGTGGGTCCCTGAGGATGGGGCTAGGAGAAGGGCACAGTGGACCGTGGCAGGCACTGTCCTGAGCCACCTTTTTTTCCTGAGGGTGAGGCAGATCACTTTTGCAGGCTCTTGCTCTGGCAGACGCTTTTGTGAGTTGTTCCCAAGATTTTTAGTGAAGGATGCTGTTTCTCCTCCAGCTAGAAGCTTCCAGTTGTCTTCTCAGCCTGGGGCTTCCAACAGTCTCCCTTACATTAACCCTCTCCTTTGGGCTTTTTTCACCCTTCCCCCTCCTCACTCATGAGTCCTCTTGTGCAGTTCACCTTGAAAACAACCCCAGCCAGCTCCCTTTCCAGGTCCCCAGGGCCCCCAGTGAAACTCGTCCATCTTTGTCGGCCACTCCTTTCTCCTTGCTGTCACCCAGTTTAGTTCTAGCCACAGTCTCTCACCTGTAGGCTTCTTCTGGCAAAAGGCAAATACAAGTCTCAAAACTCCAGGGGGCACATGCCAAGCTCTCTGAGGAGGTCTCAGGAAGGCCCTCTCACTGGCATGAGGTGACAGCAT